TGTGGTCCACACAAACTTCCTCTGACTCCACAGCAAATCACCACCTCTGTACTTTCTCACTTTTTTTTCCTGGTTTTACCTTAAATAGATCTTGGCTATTTGTCTCGGTTATTCCATGTTGAAACAAATTACATACTTTAACAACTCTGAGTAAAGAAGTTTCTGCTGAATTCATTATTGGATTTATTATATTTATGGTGCCCTAGTTCAGAACTCCTCACAGATACTGCCTTGTCAGCTGGGTATTCTGTTTTTATTTCAGATTTCCAGCATCTACAGTATTTTGCTTATGTACTTATAATCCATCATTTTTGTTTTATTTTAATCAAATTTTAGTCCTTCTGGAGATGTATGTTTAACAGAAGTCTGAAACCATATTGAATAACCAACTTTGTCACTTAACACGCAAGCACAGATCAGGACAGTGCCTGGTAATTAATTAAGAGGTAAGGACAAAGTAGAATCCAGAAGCTGTAGCATCAGTGTAGAACACAGACAATGAAGGTGGGGACAGAGAAATGGAACAAATGATTCTGATTTCTCTTGTTTCATGCAGTCTCGTCTCCTGGGCATAAGCTTAGGTTCACTTTAAGTCACGCATCTCTTCAATTTCTTTCACTGAGTTAGTGGGGGAGCTTTTCACTGCTAATTATCAAGTGGTGAACCTCCTTAGCAGAGCTAATGAGTGTCCTCTGCTGGATAATTCAGGAATACAAGGGTAGAAATTAATTTGAGAAAACGTGAAGGTTAGACGCTTTCATCCTTTCTACCTGGAGAGCTAAGATAACATTGTAATGGGGAGGACTGGACCGGTGTGAACAGTACTAAAGGGTGATTCACAATTGCCAAATTCTCCCCACGAGAACAAAACCCAGGCCAGATTTGCTAGCCTGCTAAGCAGGACTGGAAAATCCTACTGCTACTGCAAACAGATCAAACTCTGTTTTTAAAAAAAGCTTGCTTTTCTATAGCTCCTTTCACAACTTCAAGACAATCCTAAGTATTTTACAGTCTGTGTCTATTCCAAACTGAACAGTGTGGCCAAATGATTCAAAATGGTCACCACTGTCAGGTCCTGATTTCTCAATTCTCAAAGAGTCAGTATCCCATGGAGGATGAAGAAATTATTTTAAACACACTCTGGAGCTCTCTTAGAAGAGTGGTGGGATTGACCTGAATGACAGGGGAGCTTGTGATGAATTGTTCAGAATAGCAGCAGCTTATCCATCAAGTTGATTCACACTTTGAGACACGTGACGAGGTAGAGAAAGAAAGAAAAGGAAACAAATCCTGCACTGATCCAGAACTGGAACACACATGTTCCATGTTTATCACATGTACATTACAAAAGATCTGTGTCATGAAATGGTCCATTCAGTCACATGAAGCCACACAGCAGAAAATCATGACCCTGACGAGATACAATCCTAGAATTGAGGGACAGCCAACAATAGCCAGGGAAATACTTCTAAAGTGTATTTCCTGCTTTCATATAGGAACCAAATTAGATAACTTAAGTACAGTAGTAATGATAACAACAGCAGTGAGATTCTGACCTTAAAATCTGCATAATGATGTTCTGGGATAAACTATTACTCAAGCCACTGGAGAGATCTCCCCTTTTCTTGCTGGAATAGTACACAGGGTTCGAGCTTAATAACTCCCATTTAAAAGACAGTACTTCCACCAGTGCAGCACTTCCTTGGTAATGAAGTGGGTATATTGGAGCTTAAACCCCATGTTCTTATTCACAGGCTGACTGACAGGCAAGACTGCTATCTATAGAGTCACAGCTGAACTAACACAATTTCAATGCTGTCATAGCATGAACTAAGAACATGAAACATAAAGCTGCTGCAGTCACCTCGAACTAGGTCTTCTGGAATTCAGGAACTTCAGATCACAGGTACTTGGAGGCTTCTCAATAAAATACTTAGAAACAAACAAACATGGAGAAGGCTTTTGACCCTTCGAGTTTGCTCCACCATTCATTACGATCATGGATGATCGTCCAACTTAATATCCCGTTCCTGCTTACCCTCCATACTTTGATCCCTTTAGCCCTAAGTGTTATATCCAACTCCTTCTTTAAATCAAGGATAACAAGGTGTAGAGCTG